TTCCCTTCCACTCTCTCTGAGAATCAATGGAAAAAATATCCTCAGGTGAAGATTAACAATAAAAAAAAAAAGGGACTGGGGCCCATCCCCAGATAACTGAAGCCTGACAGAGCTGGTTAACACATGCGCCAAATCATTTCACTTTCATTTGCATCTATGTGATCACCAATGAATGTGAACATCTTTGGATGCACCATTTTTTTTTTTTTTACTATGTCTTTATTGATTTGAGAGAGGAAGGGAGAGGGAGAGACAAAAACATCAATGATGAGAGAGTCATTGATCGGCTGCCTCCTGCACGCCCCCAACTGGGGATCAAGCCAGCAACCCGGGCATGTGCCCTGACCGGGAATCGAACCACCACCTCCTGGATCTTAGGTTGATGCTCAGCTGCTGAGCCATGCTGGCCGGGCTGGATGCGCCATTTGGATGAACTTTTTGGGGAACTGTCTTTTCGTGTCCTTTGTTTTTTTTGCCAGTGGGTGGAAGCTCTCTATTTACTCTCAACTTCAACCTTTTGTTTGCCTTTTGTTTCTACATTAAATATTTTCCCAGATCTACTATTGAGTTTATGGTTATCTTTTGCCACATAAACTTTTTCATAGGTTCAGGATTTAAACAAATTTAAGACTTAAAAAAGATAGCTTTCCGGATTTCCAATTTTCATCACAAAAGTGTTTCTACTAGCACTAAGTTTTTTTCCTAAAATTTATTTTCTACATGCAGGTCCTTAATGTGTCTTTTAATGTAGGTGTTAAATGGGAGCACCGTTATTTTATTCCAGACATGCGTTGACATTTCTACCTCCTGGTGTCTCTTTCCTATTCTCCTTGTCCCCATGAGTTTATATATCTTTTTTGTCTTTACATTGTCATTTTGGTGGAAATCAGAAATAAGTACTTGTACTTAAGTCTACATGTATCCTTTTGCAATGTCACACACTTTGCTTTGGGGGATTTATCCATGTTGATTCATGCGGATTTACAGGGTCATTTTTAACTGTTCTAGACCATTCTACCATGTGACTAACCCACTGTTTACATAGCCTAGAGGAAGAGTTCGATTACTACCACGGTGCTGCAGCAAACCTCCCTGTGCGAGCCTGGACACGTGTGCCCTGTACACGTGAGAGCCTGTCCGTGCCGAGTGGAAAGACCGAATCAGAGCACCAGCACCCTCCACTCCACGCCATCACCTCTTCTCTCTCCAAAGCGCCCGTAAGTTTATATCCCTGACAACACCGCGAGTCACCCTTTCCCACATCCTCCCAAAGACACTTTATGTTTTTGTCATCTGATGGGTGTGAAACGGGCTCGCCATCTAATCTGCATTTGATTCCTACTTGGTGTTGAGCATCTCTTAACACGTTCACTAGATATTCTGGTTTCCTTTTCTGTGAGACTCATACATTTTGCTCTGCAGCTGTTTGCCTTCTAGTTATTTACCTGCAAGAGTTCTCTACGTACTCAGTCACTTAAGTATATTGCAAATATTTCCCAACAATGGCCCCTTTTTCAGTTTATGATGTGTCTTGTTATGTGGAAATTTTCAGTCTGACTTTAGTCAAATAGATCCTATCTTCCTTGACAGTTTCTGCTTCTAAAATCCTGACATCCTCTTACCTTCCTCGAGGCCATAAAGTATTTCTCCCCAATTTTACAGTTTTTTTCAGGCCTTTAATTCATCTGTAATTCATATTCCTATGGTATGGAAGGTGGGAATCTAATTTTATCAACCAGTTTTTTTAAAAAAAGCTAAAAACAAAAACAAAGAACTTACATAACAATATGGGGAAATGCTTATGTAACAATGCTGATTAAAACAAGGCAGGATTGATCTTGACTATGTAAAATAACACGCACACACAAGACTGTACTAAGATGAATTAAATATAAACAAAAAAAAAGTCTAGCCTGGCTGGTGTGGCCCAGTTGGTTGGGCGTTGTCCTGTGTACTGGAAGGCTGCCAGTTCTATTCCCGGTCAGGATCCCCAGTGCTGGGTGTGCAGGTGGCAGCCAATTGAGATGTTTCACTCTCACCCCAATGTTTCTCTCTCTCTCCCTTCCTCTCTAAAAATCAATTTAAAAATCTTTAAAAAAGTCTTACCTAGCTCGTTGCAATGCCCACTGACCAACATACAATTCCCCCTTGCTGTACCATCTAGCCCCAGAGCACCCCCTAGCTTACCAACTCTCCACCTGAATTCAGAAATAAACTGTGGGAAACTGGAGAGCTGTGGGTTCGCACAGAAAGGGCTACACTGCCCGGGACTTACCTGGAGTTTTGCTACCTCCTTCCTGATCAGGAAGCTGACTTGGTCCCGGTCATTCCTGGAGTAATAAAGACGGCACCAGGAAGGCTTCCCGTCCCTGCCCGCTCTGCCGGACTCTTGGTAGTACCCAGCCATAGACTTGGCAATGTTCCAGTGGGCAACAAACCTGTAGGACCCAAAGGTGGAAGCAGAATGAGATATGGCAGGAGACCAGAGGGGAGGAGTGATTCTGAGTGGGTGGAACAGGGCTCTCCACAGTGAGCAGGAGTGGGTGGGCAAGCAGGCAGAGACAGAGAGAGAGGATCCCAAGGTTAAGCGTGGCTAGGACACCTACAGTCCGTGAGCAGGCCACCCTGCCATGGAGCAGCCCAGTTCAGAGGCCATAGCAGTAAAGGGGCAATTCCAACACATATGGAAAAAACACACACAAAAAAAACTCAGTCAGAGGCCCAGTAGAAAAAAATACTGGACTTAAATAAGACTAGGCCACTTATAAGCTGCACAACCTTGAAAAAATCCTTTCTAATCTCTTTGGAGAGGGAAAGGGATAACACTTATTAAGTACCTACTTTGAACCAGTGTATATTTTTGTCTTATTGAATTGTTAGTCACCATCATGTGAGGTAGCCCTATTTTAGACACAATTAATTTGAGATTCAGGGAGGTAAACTGTACAAGGTGACACAGCAAGGGGACAGTAGGGCTAGGATTCAGCCTACGGGTGTCTGACTGACTTCAAAGTTGGACCCTAACAAGACAGCCGACCCAGCATCCAAGCTCTGATTCCAAAGTCTGGGTTCCTAAGGAGACTTGACTTTGGGTGGCGAACACAATACAATAGACAGATGATTATTACAGCATGGTGCACTTGAAACCTGCCTAACTTTATTAACCGATGTCACCCCAATAAATTCAACACAAATTAAAAAAATAAAAATAAGAAAAGTCCGTGTTCTCTCAAATGCAATACACAGATTAACTCCCACCCTGACCAACTCAGGGTCACTGTGTGTCTCAACAAGACCATGTAAGCAAAAGTGCTCTGTAAATCAGACAAGGCATTACTGTTGGTGTTAATCAGAAAAAAGGGCTTCAGGTGATAGCCCAAAAATGTCTCCAGAAGGTTGGGCATGGCTAGAGGTAAAACACTTCCAGCAGCGGCCAGCATGGGCCTAGGAGGCTGGATGCACCATCTCCTCCAGCCTCAGTCAGCAGTAACAAGCAATGACAGGAACAAGCACTTTGACTTGCCACAGGAAGCAGGTTAAGATAGTTTGTTCCATCCCTCACAGGGCCCATCTGCTAAGACGTGAGTGAACGGGCTGTGTTCATAAATGAGTCTGACGGTCTGCACGCTGCCCCATCTCCTGGGGGACAGCAGAACCGTGCTGTGCAGTCACCGGGAGCCAGCTGCACAGAAACTGTCAGCCCGTGGGCTGTGTACTAGGGACCCTCTCCTGGGGCCTCCTTCCCTGCTGACCCTAGAAGGAGCACATGGACCTGGTCCTCCTGGCAGCCCACCCCAAGCCAGCCCCCGATCAGGAAGGTAGGACAAGAAGCAGAGCTCACCTGACGTTGGCTTTGTCCACACCCATTCCAAAACTGATGGTTGCAACAATGACGGGGACCTTCTCCTCCATCCACTCGTTCTGCACCAGTGTTCGTTCAGAAGGCTTCAGCCCTATAGAGGGGAAGGTGGAGAAGGGAACTCTCATTTCCCTTGTGTTTCCCTGGGGGTCTCTCTTGGGTTCAACACTATGTTGGGCACTGTACACAACCCCTGAACCCATTACTTACCAGATGTGTGACCAGCGGCCAGGCACTTAGCCTCTCTGAGCCTGAGCTAATATATAAAGACCCTCGCCTGTGTGTGGCATACAGCACTCAATGAATGACAACAGAGCCCAGAATCAAACCCAAGTCCGTTGGCTTCCAAGGTCTGTGCTCCTTCCACAACACCAACTCCTGGGCTTATAAAAACCTATCGCCTGCTGCTGGTGGGCGCAGGGCAAGAAAAAGGATTCGGGAGTCGCAGTCTCATTTTGGAACCCACTCATGTCTAGACTCCTTCTTGTGGATTTAAAGCGAATCTAATTTAACTCTGCCTGGGTATCTAGAAAAGATGTCAGACCACCTGATTTTCCAGGATCCACAGGAACAAGAGACTCGCTAAGAGGCCTCTGAGCAGGAAGAGGACCGCATAGCCTGGTGGCCCTTACCTGCATGGTAGGCCTTGGCGTTCAAGCCCCTGTAACTGAGCTCTATCGCCAGCTGTTCACAAGTCTCTCTGGTCCTGCAGTAGACAATGCCGCAGCCGGACAACTGAAGGGGAAGCCAGGACAACAGAAAGGAAATAAGCACCAGGAAAAACAAACAATCAGCCTGGCATACTGTGGCCTGCTTTAAAAGAAGCTCTGGCCCAGCCGGAGTGACTTAGTGGTTGAGCATTGACCCATGATCCAGGAGGTAGAGGTTCGATTCCCGGTAAGGGCACATGCCTGGGTTTTGGGCTCGATACCCAGTAGGGGACGTGCAGGAGGCAGCCGATTGATGATTCTCCCTCATCATTGATACTTCTCTCTCTCTCTCTCTCCCCCTTCCTCTGAAATCAATGAAAACATATATACTAAAAAAAGCAGCTCTGAGCTCTCTCATCAGCCTCATAGTCTCTCCTGAGGCAGGCCACCCAGCAGGGTTCTGCCACTCTAAGAAAGCAGGACCAAAGCAGCTCACCCTTCACAGGGTCCATCCAACCAATCTAACTCCTCTGCCTCCTCCCCTCCAACCCTGATTAGGTCTGCAAAGGCGACAGTCAGAGGCCGGCTGTTTGCCTCCCACAGGATCCCAGGACAAGGGAACCCCAGTAAGGGGAACAACATCAGAAAGCTAAAGGGACAACTCTCTGTGCTTCAAGCAGCTATAGCTAGTCCTGGCTAAGGACGCCAGAAAAAGCAAGGGTCTTAGAAAACAAATACCCATCTCTGTGCCACAGACAGCGTCCCGTTGTCCACAGGCATCCTGGACCCCCTACCTCAGTGCCCTCACCTCTTTATTATCAGCCTTCTGTCCAAGAGCCTTAAGGCAGAAGTCCCTCAGGTTCCCGTAGGGATTGGAAAGCAGCTCCTTGAACTGTACGTCATAGAAGAGGTTGGCTCGGAAGCAGGGAGTCTTGAAGATAGCAACCGGCTGCCGCAGGTGCAGAGCAGCAAACACATCCTCCCGGACCTGCGGGGTGGCTGTGGCGGTCAGAGCCACACACGGGGCGTGTGCCAGGCGTGAGCGCAGGGCCCCCAGACGCAAGTAGTCAGGGCGGAAGTCATGTCCCCACTGGGAAACACAATGAGCTTCATCCACCACCAGGTAGGAGAGCAGGTGGCGGGATGCCAGGGAGTTCAGGGTGGGCTGGAAAGAGGCGGAGGCCGCCATCTCTGGCGTGATGTACAGAAGTTTGGTCCGGGGCTTCTCCTGCTCCAGGTCAGAGAGCAGCTCCTTCTTCTCCTGCGCCGAGAGCTTCGAGTTCAGGGAACTCACTTGGACCTTCAGGGCCAGCAAGTGGTCGACTTGATCCTGAGAGCAGAAGGGAAGCACAGAGGAGAGTATCATTGGCCTTCAGGATCTCAGAAAGGCATGGCAATGGCCTGGGGTATTTCCCAGTCATAAACCGTCCTCCTCTCACCCCCCAATGTCTTCTCTTTGCATATAAGAAAGACTGAAGGTGAAGTGGTTGCAAGGACAGGCTCCGGAGCCAGGCAGACGTGGATTTAATCCTGGCTCACCTAATTGCCACATGCTTCTGGGCTGGTTCTTGACCTTAACCTGTCCACTTTCTCACTCTCCCTCTCTCTCCCTACAATAAAAATAGTGACTACCTAATAGGATTGTTGTAAGAATTAAATTTTACATCTCAAAGGCGAGACGAATGCACATAAAGCACTAGCACAAAGCCCGAGACCCAGAGATCACCCACTAGGTGTTTTCTTTCCTCTCTTTCTTCTTGGCCGATAGCTCTTAAGTACATGGCTACATTTCCTCATTTCTGATTCTAGCAGCCCATCTGCAGGCCTTAAATATAGTCAGAAGTGCAGAGCAGATGTTCACAACATCCCAATCAGTCTCTCATCGTTTTTTCTGTCAAGCTGCGCCCCTGCCAGAATAAAGCAGGGTACCAAGGATCCCCCATATCAATTCAGCACTCTATCCATCTGCATCTTCTCTCCTGTCGAAAGTGTGCATGTGTGTACAGAGACAGTTCCATATTCATTTGGACAAAAAGTAACAAAGGAGGGTAAGAGACCTCCAGAGTGCTATGTACTAGTGGAGAAGCCCACATATGGGCAATTCAGAAACCCAATACGGAGAGGGGGATAGGCAAATCAAGAAAATAAGAGGCAACAGACCAAAGAAAGAAGAAGTGAAATTTCTAGCTATAAACAACCTTTCCCGAAACTTTTTGGGCTACCGTCTTCATTCCCCTAAGCCTCACCTGAATCAAAGCAATGAGAGGAGAGATGACAATGGTGATGCCTTTGGCCAACAGAGCAGGGAGCTGATAGCAGAGGGATTTTCCTGCCCCTGTGGGCATGCACACAAAAACATCCTTGTCACCTGCAAACATACAAGAAGGCAGCATCTCAATGCTTTCTTCCTTTTCTCTTTCATTCATCAAGGCTGTTGAAAATTAAATGAGGATGTAGGAAAAGCCTGTAACAGAGAGTCTGGCACAAGGGGCGGTATCTCAATATAATCTTAATTCCCTTCCCATCCTCTCTATGAAAATGGATCCAGGGACATTTGGAAAAGCACACAAACCATTTCCTATCGCGGTAATAACACTACAAGGTTAAGAAGTCCGAGTCTGCTGGGATATAGATGATTGAACTAAATAGCCATGAAAGCTGAATACTTCTAGATGAGTGGGCATATGTGTAGACATGGAAGCAATTTAGACCTCTTTTGTTTATAAACATTATAGTGTAATTAACAATACATTGCTGCTCCCCTCTTAACAACCTCCATTTGTCAAGGAGTCTCAGTTTTATAACATTATTAATCCTTCCTTCCTAATTTGGAATCCAGGCCACTCAATCTTTAACAAAGGGATTACCTAGGTCAGTGACTGGATTAGGCCATTCCTGCCACTCCCACACAAACTAATGGGAATCTATGAACTGTTTTCAAAGACAATCTGTAGCCCTGGCTATGAAATGTAAGAAACAGAACAGCTGGGTGGTTCTGCCCATAAAGCTGCAAGTTTTGGGTAACAAGTCTACAAGAAGTAGAAAGGGTCAGAAGGAGGGGTGTTCTCTGTCAGGGCTGCGGTACCGCCAGTGTAAACGTAAGCACAGGTAGCTTGGCAATGTTACCTTTCACCACAGCCATGGTCGCACTCTCCTGTAAAGGCGTCTTAAAAGAGTCAAACCCAAAGACCTTCTTCAGTGTGCTCCGGACTTGACGCTCAGGATCACAAGGAGAGGAACGGTGGGTGCTCATCTTAGCAACAGACAGTGGCCAAAGGTTAAGGCAAAGGTGTCGATCACAGGGTTGTGACAGAAACCCTCTGTTCTGCTTTCAAAATACTGCTTCTCTGTGAGGATAAGCTTGCTTGATTACAGTCAAGCAATATACTATTTTCACGTAATACAGCAATACAATGCTGGGTAATTAACATCTCCACTCTCACATCGGTGAAAATAAAAACACTGAACTATCCCAGGCACAGAGCTAGAAATCAGATCACAAGAAACACAAATGTCTTCGGAATCGTTTGGAGAAGTTGGAATTGTTTGTCTAAGACCCACTTTCTGCTCCTATAAGCGCAGCCATGAGGGTCA